TTAAGGGACGGACAGGTGAATCGAGAAGCAGGAAAGGGAGAATAATTAAAAGAGAATCTTCGTTTCGCGTCGCGTTCGAAAAAGAGGAAACGAGGAAAAGAAAAAGGTTGCGGTGGGTCGGTGATTTTTCACGAATGTCGTCCGTACAAAAATCCTGTCTCGCCGTTCTAAATTCCGCTTATCTAATGGGGTTTCGACAGTAATGTGCCGGCGTATTATGTAGAACCATCCTGCCAGGGCCATCCCTTTTACGTGGAAGACCACGAGCAACGGTGCCGTTTAGCGTCAGATAGCGGAAACGTATGAGGGACGGGGTGAAACCACCCCTTATCTTAAGGGTAGCTACTCAATAGCTAGTCGCACCGAAATTTCTCCCGATTTCTCTGTCGTTCTTTCTCTCCTTTCTATCGTTTTCATTTCTTTTTCCTTTTTTTATTTCTCTGTAAGCACATAACTCTTGGTTCCTTTCAGGTACGTCTAACGGAACGTTTACGAAACCTATACGTTATTCTTCATTGAAAATCGTTCGATCGAAAGACCGCTTCTCATTCGTACCTGCGAGGCACACGCGCATAATTTAATGTACAAGACACTGGAGGCACTGCAGCGTTGGTTCGAGCCACGGCGTTTAGGGTTACTTATACTTTGGAACGGCAATGTGTGCAATGTACAAGAGCGCCTCGGGGGTAGGTACTTGCGGTAAATCTAATAACGTTGTAATGCTGTTACCCCCTCAAAGTTGGCCCGTAAGTTTCTACGGAGGCCTGTTGGCTCCGACCACCGTGCCGAGAATTCCTAACGCGCGCGTTGTTCTGGCTGCATACGCCACGTATACGAATACTTCCTTGAAAGAAATTTGTTTCCAACAAAAGAATCGTTTTCGAAAAAGAAAGCTTGAAGGTACGAATACAATGTCTCGTTTAATTCTCTGAAAATAGGAAAATTGTCACGCGACTCGTCGATTGACGTTCCACGAAGATGGGCAACAGGTAGCTGATAGCAATTTACCGACTTTTCCGGCTAGACGTGGTTGAAATCGAAAGAGAGAGCCGCTCGACGCGTTCTTCCGCAAATTTCTCGCAAATCACCCCTCGGTTGCTTCTCCCTTCAACGACGGTTTGTTGGAGCTCGCGTAGATATATGTCACGAGCCAAGGTAAGCCTCGTAGTCACCCGAGGGTGTTCCGCAAACTATGCTCGCGAAAAGTTCAACACAACTTCATAACATCGGAGCTTCGTGGGAGAATTAGAGGGGGTGAGAAGGGACTCGAAGTGGATGGTCGGAGAAGTGCGGCCCGTCGGGGTCGGGGGGTAAATTTGTTCTAGCGTGAGCTTACATGGGTTACGTTAAGTACATAGGTGTTTGGGGGTAGTTAACTGTATTCGTCAGACCAGAATACGTGCGTTGTGTGCAACTTGGAACGTCCTGTAGCGTGAACAGCAATTCTCCTGTGAATTCGCTAAGTTTCTATTTGGTATTTACAAAATTGTATTTGTGAATTAAAATTAATAACCTTAAATTATTCGTAAACTGTTCGTCGATAAATCTCAGCTGCTCAGTACCGGAATATCGTTCAGGTTACATTGTAAGGGTAGAAGGAGAAAAATCGCCATGGTAACCGTAAAAATTCTGGCAACGATTGCGGTACGATGAATTCCCAGTTAAAGCCCGGTTATAACAGGGCTGTGCGGTTTATCGCGAAAAATTCTTCGGTCGCTTAAAATCGCAATACAAAACGACCGTTGACCCGAATCCTATTCTTCTTCCGTATTTTTCTCTCTCGCTCGGTGTTCCTCTCTTCGATTGTCCCCGTCCTCTCCCGTGTAATCCTCCGAACCACTCTTTCTCGCAGTACCGGAGATAAAAATCAGTAATTAGCCAGGACCATTATGGCGGCCGTTTGAAAAATTAGCGGGTCGTGGGGGTAACCGCCCCTCTGGGCATAATCCTGCATCGGTAACGGCGCATACCAACGTGCATCCAACCTGTCTCTGATTTATACGGGTTTGCTATTAATTACACCCACCCCACTGGCTCGTTTTCCACCGCCAACCCTTCTCTAAACGATTATTCACGAGCCTCTGATTTTCTTGCGCTGTAACGCTGTGATTCTTCTTGTTCGTTTCTCAATTCTACTTTTTATATAGAAATTCTTCTCTTTGTTCTGCAACGTTTTGACAGCGATCGAACACTATTCTTAAGAGATGGTATTCTGAAAAGTTAACCGTTATCGAAAAATAAACGGTATATATTCGACGCGTGTAAAATTGTTGAAAAAACCACTATAGTTTTGCTATTTGCGATTTTTTGTACGGCCACGCTACCGTTCATTCGGTATTTGTTTCCATCTTTCGGTGTCCACCGGCCGCATTTTGATTTTGTGCGTGCTCGCACGTTTGTGCGGGTGGTGTGCTTTTTTTTTTGTTTGTGTACGAAAGAATTCGAGTCCAGTGCGCCGAGCCGAAAATTCCATCCGGGTCTCGCATCGGTTGTTGTTTCAACTGACGCTGGCCAGTCTCGACGGGCTGCGGTGCAATTAAATTAAATGCTTCGGATTAATTGTTCGAAAGCAGTTAAATTAGTTGCATTTGTTTTGCCCGATTTTTGCGCAATCTCGGCGCGGAATGCGCGACGCTGTACGCACACATCGCGTGTCCTCGAATCACGCTCGGCTCTGCTATCGCGGATACAGGCTCGAAATACTGGCGTGCTTTCGCGAAAGAGACACTTAAAAAATTCATTTAACTCGTGCGCGTTTGTATGTTAAATGGATACGTTTTTCGTTTTTCCATTTCACCGAACATAGAACCCGTGATCTCGCTATACTCCACCCCTCTCGAAAGGATCACGCGTTTTAAGGGTAAAAGAAACTGGAGAACGCGATTTTCATTTAATTCTCGCGACAGCAAAGCAGAAAACAAGAGGCGCAACGACGAAAACAATTGTAATACAAATGTGAATGGCGATAAGTTTTGAAACACATTTAACACTTTGAATGCCATTGGGTGATTATGGAAAATAATATTGTTATTGTACAAATAATGTAAAATAGAAAATTTTAAAGAAAGCTTGAAATTTGAAAGCTTCATATAACTATTCCTATTCTTATTAATTAGTGCTTCAAAACGTCTCATTTTTACCATGGCAGTCAATGTATTAAAGATTCAAGTTGAATTTATCAAACATACAGTAATTAAGTTTGCTTTGAAGACTGGAAATTAACGCGTCGGGAAAGAAAAATGAAAAGAAATTTTTGTAAATGTCGAAGAAGCTAATCCTTTGAGAGAAACCGGCATATAGAAGAGGGTGCATGGTCAGCGGGGACGCGGACTCTCGAGTCACATTGCTCGGATGCTGACGATACGTGGAGGACGCGTACGAGCGTCTGGCAAGCTTGCAAGTAAACGTACGGTAGACATGGTTAGACTGGTATCCGGCCGCAAACTCTCAACCTCATTGCAACCATCCACCACCCCGATTCCAGCTAGCTTTCGTGCTTCTCCCGTCGTTGAACCCCCCTCTGACACCCTGTGCACTCGCCTCGTTGACCGATGCCTGTTCACCAGATATCGCATCGTCGAGACATTCAAGACATAACGGACCGAGGAGAGATATGCATCATTAGGATTGCCGGACAGCCGACACACGCGGCCACTCGACGCGGCGTTCCTGTATCCTTCGATTCTCGATCGGTCGAGATTGTTGGAATGCTGAGGGGTGCTTTCCACCTCCTCCTCCTCCTCCTCCTAAGATGGTCCGCATATCCATGCCTCCCACGCGTGCCTACCTGCGTGTCTGAGTACCCAGCCGCGTTCGAGATTTCATCGAGCTAACTTGCACTTATTAATAAATTTTCGAATTTTGTTAAATTTCCCTCGGTTAAGGATAATTCTAGGGGGTAAAACTATCCTCCCTTTAATCTTGAGAAAACTCAGATTACATATTTTCTGTGTGCTCGTTTAGACATTCCCACTACTGAAATTGCACGTCTCAGTTTATGTGCATAGATGGCGGAAACAAACGAATAGTGTTGTTGAGACACCATAGAGGGTCCACTGAAACGGGACAGTTGCGGTGAGGGGGAAGATGGAACTGTGTAAGCGAAGCAGAGAAGTGATAGAGGGACAGTGCGAGATACGAGAGAGAGAGAAAGAAGGAGTGAAAGATAGATGGTGATAGGGGTGGGTTGAGGTGAAAGGGGTAGATAGGAGGGATGGTGTGGTGCCAGTGGCGGTGCCACTGACTCGCTCAAACAACGAGGGGTTTGGAAAGCGTAATCGTTCTAGCCCCGCACCTCGACCAACTACCCCTACGCTTCGTACCTATCCTCTCGCACCCCCGTGGTCCTGTACCCGCTCGTGCTTGCTATTTATTGCCCGCACTCGGCCGGTTCACAACATAAATATGTTACACCTATGGCCACACCTATTGCCCACGGCGCGCGAATTCCTCCGCGAGCATCCGACCGATCCGCGAAAAGAATTACGCGGATAAGCGGATAAACGTTGTTTCTCTCTGGTCATTTGTTTTTTTCTCTGGTTTCGGTGGTTTTTCTTCTTTTTTATTTATGCCTTTCTATGATCTTTGGATTTGTTGATGATTTCATTTCAGTTCCATGTTAAATTACATAAAATTAGGAACACATAGGTTAATGTCTATTGAAACAATTTCTCCATGTATGAAGTGTCAGAAGTTAGGTCAACACCACCGTTCCACCCTTGTCTGTTTTTAAAACGGAAACTGTCAACGATCTCTTACCGAGGAGACACAGTTACTGCCACAGGGATCGAGGGTAACGTAAGAGCGAATCTGTTAAGGGCTCGAAGCTAGGGTGGCACGGAGGGTCGAGTTTTGGAAGATAAAAGAAGGACCAACTTGTTGAATATCGACCAAGCTTGCAATCTACCATTCTTACATTCTTGACAACGAACTTTCGAATTTGATTCCGTATGATTGTTTCAACCTGCTACTCTATCGCAAACAATAAAATTGTTACTTACGTTTTCTTGTGATTCTGTCAAAGTCTCTACACTTTCTTCCTCCAGCTACGTTCACCGCTCGATTTGTCAATGTTCCAAGTATCACAGAGCACTAGTAGTGTCTCCTTCTGGTTCGCCAGTACGTTTTCGGTGTACGGAACCAGGTAGCAGAGTAACAGTCGATCGAAATGATATTCAACGATCAAAGTGGATGATTAAGGATTGAAAGAATTTGGAAAGTAACGAAAGGTCTGCGTAGACTCTTTCCTCGAAGACGAAAGCTTCGATTGGTGAGCGCGACGCGCAAAAGCTCGACAGCTCCGCGGACGCACGTGCAACTCGGCCGCGTGGCACGTGGTGTTTGTCGGAGTGGTTCGGCTCGAAAGCCGCTCGGCAGAGCTTGCAAGCTCTCGAGCTTTCATTGGACGATGGGTGGAAACTGCGCATGATTGCGGGTGTGGCCAGAGCTTAAGGGGCGGAATAAGCACGGGGTGACGATAGGGCATCGCGAAAAGGGGCACGTCTTCGTGGGTGTCCACGTTCCTACGCTATCCCACCCCTAACGTGCTTTTTCCTTAAGCTTCTAACGAGCCTGAGAAACTGGTCTCTCTCCCGGACCAAAGCTTCGAGAACTTGCGAACTGGCTTCCACGATCCGCACCGACACGAAGAACGGGTCACACGGGCTAATTAAGGGGCAAACTAATGACGTCGAGAACTCGCGAGGACACGCTCTTCCAGTTAACGTGCTCCATGCTGATGTTATTCATCGAACTTTTTGCCGGGATACTCTTCGGTGAACTTTTGTCCTCTTTGAAACTTGCACAAGCTCCGAGCACTCTTGGATATTGATGATCGGTAATCTTATGATGCACCTATCTGAAAATACAGTAAAAATAAACGCATGTAGTATAGTCCCTTTAATTGTAATCACCGATCACTACCGCAGTAATTAACTTGTTATAGAACAATATCGTTTCACACTTTGCGACACTCGTAGAAAAAAAGAAATCTTTTGATAGTTGAAAATTCGTCAGACGACATCGATCGACAAAGCGTATTTTTCTTTAGTAGCAACAGGTGGGGGTATATTTGGCATTATCGAGAAAAGAAGCGAAACAGAGGCGTACACGAGCGGGCCGCAAAAGTTGTTTTTCGGAATCGGGACATCGTTAACAAATCAATCGAGTACCGATCAATGTTTGGCGCGGTCGTGTGTCCGCGGTAAAGTGGAAGTCTAATCACGGCCGACCGATAAATAAATCGGTTTAGCTAAACATCGAATCAGTTAGGAGGATGGTGTGATTTCCAACCAAAGAGCACGCGGTCCGTCGTTCCACGAGGATGGGGAATTTCCATCGCGTATTTACATGGTATGCCTGCTGATTGGCTTGCACGGTTAGCATCGTTTTAATGATTTACCCTTGGAGAATCGCATTAGCCCTAGAAGAGCGTAACGTCATTTATTATTGATTTCTCGTTTACGTAATTCCTTTATGAACGACTGTGATTTGCCAAAATTTTCTGACGTTTCTCCCAAGAAATCCGAAATAACGAGTTTACGTCAATTTTCGAAGATGTCGCGTAACATAGCTAAATTATTCCGACAAATAAGTCATTGTGAACGATCTGAAACTGACATAATTTGTATAATTGCGAAGTCACGTTAGATCGAAGATGTGTCTAGACAGCATCTACTCGTTGCAGTGAAAATCAGACTGTGACACGTAAATACGTAATGGTCCGTCGTCTCGGCAGCCAATTATATATAACGCCAATCATTGATTACAATTATGACACGAACGGTGCAAGACTCGATACGGATATAGCTCGCGATTGCTATTTCATAAATTCACAATGACGCACGGCCCGGCCGTGAGTGACGCGTCATATATCGCGGTATAACGCGGCGAACATTTATGTGCACTCGCCGGCACATAATTGCAATTAGAGCGGAATTCATTTACATCGGTCGACGTTCGATTTGTTCAGGTAGAAAGCACGGATTTGCACGGGACCTGGTGTTGTGCACGCGTTCCTCCCGTCTCGATTTATTTCCGTGCTTGTCAATCCTACCATCGTGCTGCGATGTAAACGGGATTAGATTAGCCGGTGGCGCGCGATACGCGACCGTTCGTCACTTTGCAACAGAAGATAAAATTGAACGATTCACGGCCTCTTCGAGAATAACCCACGTTCCGTTCGCAATCGATACCGGATTTCCTAAAAAATACCGTGGAAACGTTTCGTTTGATATTTAAATATTTACACTGTTTCGTTATTTTTCCACTCTGTTTCGATATTTTCCTTCCCTTTATCCCTCTAACACTCCCCTCACCCGTCTCCTTAAAATCAACCATCCATCCCATTGACCAGAATTTATCGTCGGAATATCGTTTTACGAAAATTACCGTTGTTTCCGTTGGCCGGTGTGAACAAATAAATCAATTTCGCTTTTATTATTTTAGAAGAGCCCTCCGGCTCCGATATTCGTTAAACGATAATACAACACGGTAATAACAGGGGGAAAACGGCGTAACTGTTAACCGAATAGAAGATCGGGAAGGGTGGTAGGAGCGGTGGAAAACAAAATACAGTGAGAGAAAAGGTAACAGAGGTTCGTTCTAAAAATTTCATTTCGATTTTTTTAAATACCGCGCACTCTACCTCCGCGTTCGGGATTAAAAGCTAATTCGAACGATCCGGTTTAATTGAGCGATTAACGGCTAAATAAAGCCCGTTCCTATCTCGCTCTCTTTTGTCCTTCTCTTTTCCCTTCTACCTCTCTCTGTCCGGCCCAGCCCCCACCAGCTTTTAGAACAAATCGTTCGTGATGGTGTCCAGCCCGGTGGAAAATATAATTCAAAGATATTTATGGCTGGATTACCGCTGGAATTGGGTATCTAATATACATGACCGGTTCCACGAGCCGACCGGACTTTAACTGTCCAACAGAGGGTTGAGTTTCGAGCTTTTTTCAGCGATACGAATCGCGTTTGCGCGCCAACGATCCTCGATTACGCGACGATACGATCGGCACCGCGACGCGTCAAGAATGGCCTGTCGTGCGACTCGTTTTGTACACGAACTAATTCTCCAGCCAGCTAGGCTCGCCGGATGGAAAAGGGACAAGAGTTTCCCGGCGATCCTGGAAAAGGATTAGCCGCAATTGATAGCCACGAGCATGGAGGAACGTGCTTGAACCTGGCGTTACGCACCAGAGCACCGACCATCCAACTATCTGTGTTCTGGTCGTTTCAAAAGTTTGTGTGTCGGCCCGTTTAGACTTTAACACGCGTGTATGCGATGTAAACAGGATGAAAAAACACGATAAAAAAGTCAAGCGAATAATTCGATGAAAACTCTATCGCTAAATCCATTTATATCGAGTGATTTTTATGAGAAAAATTCTAGATGATTTTAGCTCTTCACGGTTCTATTATTAGCTGGTTATCGTTTAAAAATTCAATGTGAATAATAAAAGTTTATCTGAGATGACCTAATTTAAAAAAAGAACCTTATCGTTCGTTAGAAGGCGATCGTTTCGAGGTCCTTCCTCCGAAGAACGGTCGTAGACTATGCCGAACGCGGAATTAATTAGAAGCAGCTGCCGGTGCAGAGGCTAAACGCGATCGCAAGGGTAATTTTGATCCTGATCCAGAGTTAGGGCCAAACTAGTGTCCACTGTCCGATGTTCTGCAGTGTCCGGTGGTTAGTGCTGGACCAGATGTCGCCACGGGCGTGACGTCACTGGTTAACTACCCTTTCGCAACCAACACCACCACCACCAACCCCGCTACCTTCACCGCACCCGACGGACACGATATACGGGGATGATTCTGATTAATTACCGATAGTTACACAAGCTGACGCCACGCCGTTGACAACCCTCGTCAACAGCGTGGACCTTTCCATCCTGGTGGACATCGAAAATCGCATAACCAACGAACTTTCTTCGATCGAAAAATTCGTTTTCGCGTAAAAATTTCGATGAAAAGAATCGTGTATAAAAACGATGAGAAAGAATTGAACGAATTACAAGATCATCGTATTGTAATTAATAATTTGGTAATTACGGGGAGATTTTCGTTAAGACGAAACCTACCAAGGAACAAAATTGGTGTGGCAAATCCATTTATCGATTGGCCGAGGTTTAATTCATTCGGAGGACCGCTGGGAAGGATTGTTATGCGAGAAGGGATGAAAACGTGCGAGCGCTAGCATCCCCTCGCGAGATGCATCGGGCCACGACCGACCGATCGGATCGCCAATATTTGGCAATTACGAAATATGAGTTTACATTTAATAATTGCGGTAAACACCGGCGGACGCGGCGAGTGGCCACAGGGGGTGGGCCCGACGAGATATGGTCGCACGTTCGTTTGCTCGCTCGCTCGCGTTTCGGGTAAATTCCGATTTACCCTCTGTGATAGGCATTATTCGACGCAGCCCGCGACTACGTTTTATTCGCTCCAACACGCCGCGAACCTCTGTTTCCCTTTATCATCGTCCGCCGAGATAAATGCCCGCCGCACCCCCACAACTTTTTGTTCACCCTCCCCCTCTGTGTACCCTCTCGAACACACGTGTGCCGCGATCCTACCCACGCATCAACTTTTCACGCTCGCGCCTGCCTTCGACGTGTGCATATTTGCTTTTTCTCTTGTCTCTCCTTTCTCATTCTCGACGTGTTAGTACGAACCATCACGCTTCTAATGGAAGAGTTTTCCAAATCATAGCAAATAACGCGTTGTTTAAGAGATGCAAATCGGAATTTAGTCAGTCCCTGGAGCGCTTCTTATTAACGCCTTCGAATCCTCCCAACTTTTATATCACCCTTGGTTATATTATTAATGCGAATATGATCGATATTAGGAAACATTTCCCGTGGGATATTTTCCAGAACAGGTAGATCGTTACGGTATTCGCGATCTGTCGCGGTTATCGACGAAGACTTTTATTCAAATGTAATATCTCGTTCGTCGACGAAGATTACCTGCTTGGGAAATGTGTCCCACAGGTACGCATCGATTTTCCTTTAGCCGGCAACCGCTTGTTTCGTCCTCTATTTTTTCCTCAGTATTACCATTTACCAAACGAGCGTTAATAAAAAGTTTCATCGATGAATTCGCATGGATGATTTCAGATTCGATCTAATAAGATCTTATCCAACGCATTACGACACAACTATGAACGGTTCTCTTTAGCTGGCCGTCTTGTGCCGTTGGTTTGTCAAGAACAGGTAACTTAAGTTTCTCGGTGGTATTCAAATTGTTCCGGGTTACGTAACAGTTTAAATGAGTGTAAAATGCGAGCGAAGGTACGAAAAGGTGCTCGTCGATCCTCGAAGGTTACTGACACATTTACGCTGTTACGTAAATCCACGGGAGAACCTTTCATTGAAAGCCACCTTTTCCCTCTTTTCTGTCTCATAGACGTTCCTCTGAAGGGTTCGAGCCCGCGCCGCGCATCTATACGCACAAACACACAAACAAGACCTCCTGTATTCGCAGTGCCTCACTGTATCCCCGGTTTCTTTCCCCTTCTGTACGGTGTCCTACAACAGTTCAAAAACTTCTCTCGAGCCACTCTCGACGGCAAGCTGTTCCCACCAAGGATCTCGCGCCTTTTTCCAATTTCTTAAAGAGCCGCGACAATTTATGTGAAGCGTGTTCATAAAGTACTGCGAGCAAACCCCCTCTGCTACACCCCGCAATGTGTCCCGTGTTTCAAGACCGAAGGAAACCTGAAGGAAATCGACCCCTTCGCGATTCTCTCGCAGCCAGACTTCTTAAAACTTCGCTTCTCGTCTTTCTCGATACTTATTAGCTCTCCCTGGCCGATCGGTTTCTCACGTACTCGCGTTCGCACGTTCGCTA